TATGGTCGGTGCATGTTTTGGCATGGTCCCCTTACAACGTACCTCCCGAATAAGAGTTATTTGACCAATTTTTGTCACATTTCCATACAAGACTGTTTTGTTATTTGCCATTTTACGTTCTGAAAGGTAAAAGAATAACCCTACTGAAAATTATTTGGAACGACCCGCCTTCAAGTAGAGTCCCCCTGTAAAAAGTATTTTTTTTATACAAATCAATTCCAAATTTTATTATTTTCACAATTTTTGTAAACGTAATAAAATAAAAATTCAATATAAAATTAAATAAAAGTTGTTAATGGATATTTAAGAATTTGTGCTATTCAAGTAAATTAAAAACAAGTTTTAATAATATAGATTTTTATTGTTTGGTAACATTCAGAGCTCAGAAGAAGACGGTAGAAAGCCTGTGTTTGTTGAAACACGAGAATTTTTTCGGGTATGATTTAATCGAAACTTTTTTATATCTTTGTTTCTAGATTCCGCGGCCTCCTCCGATAATTCGCCAATCGATACCACGGCGTATTTTATAATGTCGGGTTCATGTATTAAAATTTTATGTACTGTGGGTGGAAGATAGTACCATGGATATCTATTAGTTAGCTGTTTAGCAGTTTCCAGTGCAAAGATCTTAAAATTATCGACATTAATATTGTACCCAGAAGACAATACCTGTAACAATTTTGAACACCTCTCAATTACATCCTTATCAATCCCTGTTATCTCCGCAGATAAGCTCACATTTTTGAAAAATCCTCTTGCAGTATTCCCGTCGTTTGAAGATCCACTGCCTCCAACTTTTGGCTTATCTACAATTAAGCCAATTTCTTCTCGAAATTTCAATTGGATTTTTTCTTTTCTGTTTTGGATTTGATTTTTTTCTTCTAAGTTAGACCTAATTTGCCATTTTTTAATTTCTAATTTGTAAGACAAATGAAGAAAATCGAATATATGCATGCAGAGGCGATAATCCAAATTCATAACTATTTGTTTTAACCTCTCTTTGTAAACAGACTTCAATGTTATTCATTTCTTTTGGGTTGCATTACATATATAGCACTTAACTGATGACGTCTGAGTCAACGCATTACATACCTTACCATCCACCATAGTAAGCTGTAACTTGTGATCAATGTGTAATATTTTATCTTTTCTGTTAATAGTTGTAGGATTTAATAGGCATATTTTGTCTTTGAAGTACTTTTCTTCTTCAATGGATAATTGAGTCGATTCTCTTTTGAATTGGAATCTAATAGGTCGACAGTAGCGGGTGGAGGAGGGCCGAGGATTTTTCTAAATTATTTTAGAATTCTCCGTTCCTTCGGGTTTATAATTAGTTGAAGTGGGACATATGATGTTACAAATAAACTTCCATCATCGCAATTATTATTTTAAAACTTCTGTTTTTACTCGCTATGACCCGTACTTCCATCGAAAACCCATTTTCCTATTAGTACAAGTCTATTTGTTGGGCCAACCATAATTTGATCAATTACATCGCTTTGCAGTTCCATTATACGTGAAGCGGTGTGATCTAGTAAGCTTTGTAATTCAACTTCTGCACTGGAATCATTTACAGTTATTATTTCGGGATAACTTTTTTCTCTTTTTTTTAAGATACTGTCATAACTCGGCAAAAAGTCAACATCTATTTTATTGTTTATGAAGCTTCTTAATAACAAATATTGGTGTTTTGTCAGGTTTGCTTCTACCATTAGCGACATAACTTCTATTATATTTGCTGGCAAAATTGTGGGTGACTTTGTTTCCGCCAGTTCAGCTATTCTCCTGCGATTCGTTCTAGACGAAGACTCTTTAAGACTCAATCGTGGACGTCCACGTACTCGTTCTTCCAAATGAGAACCTGAATATTTTTTTCTTAATAAGAAACATTCATATTCGGAAATCCAATCAGAATATTTTTCCAACACAGTTCGTTTCACGCCATGAGACTTTTTCCAAAAGTCTGTTACTTTTTTTGCAGTTATAACTTATGCATTTTTCAAATTTATATTGATTGGTTAATAAATATTCCTTTTCAATGCTGAGCTTTAGAGTGTCATTCAACAATTTTACCTTTTCAGCTGCTGTTCCACGTGTTGAACTCCAAATATCAAACATATGTCTTCGCGATATTTGACATTTCCATGAACAGCCTACAATCCGATTAAAATTAAATAGAAAAAAAATTAAACGCATAGAAAGTGTTAAATAACAAAACTGTAACACCACAACAATAAGACAAACAACACATAACAACAAAAACACATTCTATGTAACTAGCACTATAAAACTGACAAAAATTGCAGCGAAGTCACTTCAGTATTTTGGGCATAACATAAAAATCTGACAAAATTTGAGATTTAAATTAGCATTTTTAGAATCTTAGGACCATTACTAACAGCGTGAGGCTTTCAGGTGGGAAAACAACTAAAACTTTAACTGAATTTCAAATTTATTGTCAAAATTAATCTTAAAAGCAACACAAACCATGACCATCTTCTCTATAATACACAACAACTAAACACACAAATTAATGCACTAAAAATAAGTCAATACCATGCTTTTCAATAATTATGTCAATATTTGTCATTTTGAAATGTATTTAATTTTGTAACACAGTTCTATTTTCACTTCACTTTTGCACTGATCCCACTGATAAAAGCAACTAACCACATTTTCTCTTTTTTTACGCTATTCCCGACGTGGACCGTTAGAATGAAGCCATGATTATTATGTTTTCTAAAAAGCTTAACCCCTTAAGAGTTCATGTGTACACATTTGACAATAAATATCTGATTTTCATTTTCTGAATTTTGGCCAATGACAGCGACCACTGTGCAATGGTATCTTAGGTATTGATTGATTATCTACAAAAGGATAAAACAATAAATTCAGAGTACTATTGGAACCTTTTGATCAATTAAATGTACAAAACGTCCTGACTTACAACACAAAAAAATAATTTTTAATAATGGCTAAAATTAACGAACTAAAATATGAGTTGCTTGAACTGCAACAAAGTCAAATACCAGAATTTTATTTTTTTTTTTTTTAATTTTATTGAATGAAAGCAAAAGATGTCGGAAATAGCATCAAATTGTTCAATAAGTATAGATTTGTTCGAATTAGTTACCTTTGACACGAATTATGGCCTTCAAACGACCAATGAAACCGCCACACGCTGCCCGAATGTTGCTCTGCGGTATTTTGACCCAAGCCCGACGAAGCGCTTGCTTGAGATGATCGACACTTTGGTATTTTTTAGTGTCAACCTTGCTTTCCAAAATTCTCCAGACACAATAGTCCAACGGAGTGGTATGCGGAGATTTTTGTGGCCATTGTGGGCTGGAAGTGAGGCGAGGAACCTCATGTTGTAACCATTCTTACGTGGCGCGAGTCCTGTTGGAATGTCCAAGGTCTGCGGCCAAAATGTTTACGTGCCCAAAGCTTTAATACACCCTCCACGATATTTTCTCGATAATATTCGGCATTTATTCTGATGCCACGGTCGATTAACACTAGCGGAGAGCGACCATCACCATGGCCGGCGCTTGAGTTCTGGTAGCCAACCGAAGGTGCACATTTTCAGCTGACATCATTGGAAAGTAAACACGACCATTTTTTTTGTTCACAAACTGCTAGACAACAATTGTTTTCTCATCCGAGAAAACCAAATTTGGCTGTTCACCACTTTCGGCCAAGCGAAACAACTCTTTAGCTCTTTTGAGTCTATTTTCTTTCTGTTTCGGCGTTCGTTCTTGCACTTTTTGGAAATGGCTTTACCCCGAGCTCATTTTTCAATATTTGCCGAATGGAATATTGCGATATGTTCAGCTCATGAGCCATTTTTCGGCCACTGCTACGCGGGTTTCGACCAAGTCACTTCTTTACTTTTCGAACCATTTCTGCTTATGTTTCTGTTTTCTTCCGTCCACTTCCTTGACGTCGGGCTACGCTACCAGTATCACGGTAACGAGCGATGGCACGAGATAAAAAGATTTATTCATATTTAAATGCTGGAGTGCCCTAACGATAGCCACTTGTGGTTTTCCAGCGAAATATAAAGAAATCATACTATCACGCTTGAATTCCATAACGAATAACTTTTTTCTGGAAAATTCTCACCAAAATGCTATTGTACGCTTGCAAACAATCACTGGAATAATTTTAACAGCTGTCGGACGAGTGGCTTAGAAATGACAGCAGTCTGAAGTTGTTTTTATAAAGTAAAATGTGACAAGGTAAATTACAGAAAATGCAGAGATGGATATGCTTATTTGAAATGACATTACCCTCTTAATTTTACCATCAACTAACTATTCCCTTTCATTGATAACGCTAAGAATTTTCCGAACCGCCCTCGTATGTATCTAAATTACATGGATTCCAAGTAATCTTAATTCGAAAATTTCAAAAAATCTATAGAAGTGCAAGTTCCTCCTCTTACAGATTAGACAACTTTGCCATGAAAACTTTCAAACGCCGATATACGTTTATTTTATTTTCAGCAGTTTTTCATTATTATTTTTCCTGCTGGACAGTGTTATTTGACAGGTCTTAAATTTCATCTCTCTCTTCCCTTTTCCTTCATGATGATGTTTGACTATGTATTATATTGGTTAACAACTTATGGTGCCTTTCTTTGGGTCCCACATTAGGTGAAGGGATCATCTGTGTTTATACAAGCTTCGAACACGATAATATATCTTCCTAATCCTGGACTTCATAATAAAAGTTAAAGGCCCATTGCTTCATTCAACTATAAAAAATCATAGAATTCGTACAATTTGGCCAGGACCTCCAATTTGGTCCAATTTTAGTGGGATCTTTGTTAATGAATGGTAAAGTCAAAGGTTGTTTATAGAAGGCAGAACTTCCAAATATAATTACTACACTAAATGGTAACAAGAGTATTTAATCGGGTGCTCTTCTCAAACTAAGTGACATGAATCATGAGCACAAGCTCCTACAATAAAGAGTAACAACAAAAAATACAAAAATTTCTGTTTTCATCTGCTTAATTATTTATTTATCTAAACAAAATTTTCACACAAAACCATACACATATATCACACACTTTTATATAATACGTATGTTATGGTTTTTCTTCGCCACCCTCCTTTTTTATTTTCATCACAAGATCCAAAACTTTACGCCGTTGCGCTTTGCCCGACCCGGTCTTGGGTATGGCTTCCACAAAATAAACACCACCACTCAAATGATACATACTACCCATATTGGCCTTAACATGCTGATCAATCTCCTTAGTGGTCAACTTTAGGCCATCGGCATTTTGCGTTCGCACCACAGCACAAGCCGTCAAATGGGAGGCCACAAAATCGGGAATACCAAATACACAACATTCTGCTATTCCGGGGATGCGACAGATCACCTCTTCTATAAGCTGTGGGTAGATTTGGAAATTTCTCGATTTAAAGACATCATTGTCCCTCGCGCAGACATGCAAAAATCCTTCGTCATTGAAATAGCCGATATCACCGGTATGTAACCAATTGCTGCGCAAAGCCTTACTTGTGGCCTCGGGGTTTTGATAATATCCCGACCAAGTGTACGGTGTGAGAATACAAATTTCACCATGTTCATTGGGTCCCAAATTCCGACCTAATTTATCGATAATTCGAACCTGTTTATTGGCCACCAGTTTCCCTTCGGAACCCTCCAGCCGTTCCATGACATGACCACCGCTAATGCTCAGCATTCCCGACAATTCCGACATGCCATAGGCAACACAAAACCCAGGTCTCTGACTATTGCATGCCAAAATACTGTTCATTTTCTCTTGGACAGCCTGTAGGACTTTGGCGCCACCAATCAACATCGTATCAATGGATTCCAAACTCTTTTGAATAACCTCCTCCTTAGCATACATAATTAATTCGGCCATGAAATTTCCTCCGCCCAGAAAATGGGTAATCTTGTAGCGGCGAACCAAATCGAGAAAATATTCAGGGGAATAGGCTTGGGAGGTCACCACACGCAAGCAGGCAGTTGTCAGCGAGGAAATAAGGGCAAAGGCTCCGGATATCCAATACAGAGTGCTAAAGCTGCATATTACCGAATCGGTTTTCAGGGTTAGACTATTGGGAATCGACATTACATTAGTAGAGAGAGAGAGAGAGAGAGAGAGGTAGACTATACTTACAAAACATTCTGATTGAGAAAAGCACGATGAGAGCAACGAACTCCCTTTGGAGTGCCTGTCGTGCCCGATGAACATATGATTATGGCCGTGTCATCGCCCTTGAGATCGTAGCAGGGATATCTGTAAAAAATGACAAAATATACGAATTAAAATTACAGGAAAAGTCCCTTAGATTATAAAAGTAGAGGTAAAATAACACGTGTATCGCCGTTTTGAAAATTAAAGTAACCTTAATGAGAGGGTAAATTCTAATCTCTTTAATATGAATTTTTGCGAATTTTCGGATTAAGATTCCTAGAAATTCCTGCATTTTAGGTATATAGTGCCTTCGGCCATATTACTGATAACAATGCAAGGATTATTTTGGTCGGAAATGTTAAAACTTAAGCGAGCCCCGAAAGGGCATTTTGGTCCTTTTTTTAAAATATGATACAAAATCTCCTTTAAAAGGGGTCGTAGCAAATCAAAATATTCTACCAAAGGGTATTTGTCGGTATTTTTATACTCCCACCAAAGTATGGAGGGTATATTAAGTTCGTCATACCGTTTGTAACACCTCGAAATACACATTTTAGACCCCACAAAGTATATATATATTCTTGATCAGCGTAAAATTCTATATCCATTTAGCGATGTCCATCCGTCTATCCGTCCATGGAAATCTATCTAGCTTCCGAACAAGATGGAATATGTTAATTAAATTTTACTCAAATGTGTATTAGGTCTGCAGGACATTTAGTATTGAAAATTAATCATGTTGGTCCATATGACCAACATGATATGAAGTTCGTAATGGATACTACAGCCTAAGATAGAAAATTGTCTTTTCAGGTCCATGTCTTCGTATAGCCCCCATATAACCGTATCTCCCGATATTCGGTACTTTGATGATTTTATCGACGTTATTCACCGGAATTGTTTCAAATTTGGTAGTTGAAGTTCGTAATGGCAATGACAGAGAATTATCTGTGCAGGTCCGTGTCTTCGTATAGCCCCAATATAACGGTACCTCCATGTATTCGTTATTTTTTAATTTTTTGTATTAGTTTTTCTCGTTTTTATTCGATTCGAAGCACGTACCATAACTCACGGAATATATCATGTCAGTTGTAAAGAAATTCTATTCTAAATTTATATTTAAAAAATAAAAATCTTGAGATTAAACTTTTTACTGGTGGCTTATCAAGCTTCGATTCTGGGTCAAAATCTTCCCTAATACTTCGTTTTCTACGTTTCCGTATTTGCCGGAAATTTTCTTATAATTATACTGTCCAATTGCCAGTGTGGATTATAGAAAATTTCAAGTGGATTTGATAGTAGCCGTTGTGTCGAGTTTCCAGCACTTAGCTCGAAAAGATTACAATATTTTGAGATATATTTCCCAAAATTTAATGTAGAGCTTTAAAGCGCAGTATACCTTCAGCCATATGGCTATAGAGGTCCTGTCATTTGATGCGACTAAAACGTGCATAGTCGAAATAACGGTTTTAGACCCTAGGTCACTTTGGACTAAGTCCGTTTCAGGACATTTGGAGTCGATCTAGGGGCGTCCGTCCGTCTGTCTGGCTGGCTTGTGTGCACAATAACTCTCGAAGGTAGTATACGATTTGGCTTGGTACATCGTAATATTATTGTCAAACTTAGATCGAGTTCGAAGATGGGCAAACCGGTACATCATGTACATCCCCCACAAAAGGTCAACATTTTCGAATGTAATATTATAGTTCATAGGAAAAGAGGGGATCATCCAATGTTGTGCAAACCTTGCAAATCCCAATATTTTTTCCAGTGCTATGTTAGGTGCAAAAATTTACAATATCCTCCCAATTTGGAATAATGATAACTCTTATAAAATGAGAGATTATTGCCCGATTGTCCTCAAATTTCAGACATTCCAATATTTTTATCTGGTGTGAAGATGAGATATATTGGTCAACTCCTTTTTGTACCTCTCCCATCCACAACGGGTCAAAATTTTGAATACCAATGAAGCTCTTAAAAGATGGAATAAACATCCGATTCCTGCCAAACCCGGCACACCTCAATATATATATCAAGACAAACCCAGGTGTGAAAATGGAATATGTCGGACCACTCTATTTGGTAACTACACCACAGCGGGTCAAAATTTTTTAAAAACTTTACCTGTTCTAAAATGCAAAATCATTTTTCAGCTCACTCCTTCTCATACCTCCCCCACAAAAGGCTAAAATAATGATTAACAATTATTCCCAAGAAATTGGTTATAGATTTCTGATTTTCTTCAAATTTCGAACATCCAAATATTTTTATCAGTATTAGATAAAGTGGAAATATTAGAGTTGTAATATTAATATCAGAGTTAGTTCAGATGAGAAGTGGATAATATGGGTCCACTACTTCGGCATATCCTCCGTAAAGGGTCAACTTTTTGAATAATCATAATGTAAGTCAAAATAAATTTAGATAGACTGACATAGGCTGGGGCATACATATGTCGGCAAAACTGGCTGATACTTTTTAACTTGGTTTTTTACTCAATGGGAACATAAATGAACAAAATTGCCGATTTAAAAGTGAAGATCAGCCAGAGGCATTGCTAAATCTACCCATGGATCCTGAAAAAGGCACAGTTTGGGCGGTTCATTGGCTGCTGGAATCATTGGACTGTACTTCGCCAAAGATGCTGCAAATCGTAACGTAACTGTGAATGGTGAACACTACCATCAGATGATATCCAAGTTTTTCCTCCGAAATAAAAGAGCTTGACTTGCATGACATGTGGTTTCAGCAAGACGATGCAATGTGCTTATTGAGAGGCGAGTTCAGCGAACCTTTTATTTCATATTTGGGACCGGTCAATTGACGACCTAGATCGTGAGATTTAAAGCCTTTGGACTATTTTCTGTGGTGCTATATTAAAACGCATGTCTATACATACGAGTCCGCTTCAAATGATGCATTAGAAGACAACGTTGAAGCATTCATTCGAGAGGTACCGACCGAAATTTTGAAAATTTTGAATTGGACTAAGCGGATGGACCATTAGAGGCGCAGTCGCGGTCAACATTTGCATGAAAAATTGTTCAAATATTAAATTAAATGGAATTTTCCTGATTTTTTTTCATTATTGAAATATTTTCTTATAGCTCTTTAACACTTTAAAAAACAAAACAGTATAAGGTCCGTTACGATAAATTCCGAATTTAACTAGTTAATAATCATAACTAAATTATATTCCAAAGATTGTAAGGCAACATACACCCAATAACTCGTAGCACAATACTATGTGCCAGGACAAGTTTACACCAAACTGTGCCTTCCAGGACAATTCTGCCGGCACAATATGGGTACCTACGGAAAGCTTATGAAGTGTACTATCCATTGGCATTAACAAAACTATAGGAAGGTCCGACCAGTTTCGAGGTATATGGTCATTTCTGGAGGTATCCTTGGAACAGGATAACTCCATTGGCCAATTCTGCCGGCACAATATGGGTACCTACGGAAAGCTTATGAAGTCTACTATTCATTGGCATTAACAGCTGTTCAAATTATTCCAGTGACAACTCATTATATTGTTTACAAGCGTACATAAGCATTTTGGTAAGAATTTTCCAGAAAAAATAAATATTTGTGATGGAATTCAAGGGTGATAGTTTGATTTCTTTATATTTGGCTGGAAAAGCATAAGTGGCTATCGTTAGAGCACTCCAGCATTTAAATGTGAATAAATCTTTTGTGTCTCGTACCATCGCTCGTTTTCGTGATACTGGTAGCGTAGCCCTACTTCAAGGAATTGGACGGAAGAAAACAGCAACATCAGCAGAAATGGTTCGAAAAGTAAAGAAGCGACTTGATCGAAACCCACATCGCTGTGGCCGAAAATCGCTCGTGAGCTGATATATCGAAATATGCCATTCGCCAAATATTCGCCAAAGTCATTGAAATTCCAAAAACTGTAAGAACTTACACCGCAACAGAAAGAAAATAGACTCAAAAGGGCTAAAGAGTTGCTTCGCTTGGCCAAAAGTGGTAATCTACCGAATTTGGTTTTCTCCGATGAGAAAACATTCGTTGTAAACAAACAAAATGACCGTGTTTACTTGCCAAAGAGGTCAGCGGAAAATGTGCACCCTCGGTTGGCCACCAGAACTCAAGCGCCGGACATGGTGATGGTGTGGGCCGCTATAACAGCCGATGGTCGCTCCTCGCAGTCGTATTAATCGACTGTGGCATCAGAATAAATGCCGAATATTATCGCGAAAATATTCTGGAGGGTGTATTAAAGTCATGGGCACGCAAATATTTTGGTCGCAGACCTTGGACATTCCAGCAGGTCTCAGCACCAGCGCACTCAGCACGAATGGTTACCAATTGAGGTTGCTCGCTTCATTTCCAGCGCACAATGTTCACCAAAATCTCGGAATACCAATTCATTGGACTATTGTGTCTATTGTATTTTGGAAAGCAAGGTTGGCACTAAAAAATACCAAAGTGTCGATCACCTCAAGCAAGCACTTCGCCGGTAATGCAACAGCAGCAACAACAACGGGCAGCGTGAGAAGGTTTCATTGGCCGTTTGAAGGCCATAATTCGTGCCAAAGGTGACCAATACGAACAAATCTAAACTTATTCTAAAATTTGCTGCTCTTTCCGGCATTTTTGCTTTCATTCAATAAAATTTAAAAAAAGATGTAAAAATTATGGCGTTTGACTTTGTTGCAGTTTCTTTTATCTCACCCTGTAGATCAACATAAAACCAGATGTGAAGATGGAACCACTCCTCCTAGTACCTCTCCCACAGCGATTCAAAATTTTGAATAAATTTACCTCTCATAAAATGCGGAGTATACAATAGTTTTACTGATTTATCAGCTCACTCCTACTCATAACTCCTCCACAAAAGGTTAAAAAAAATAATTAACAATTATTCCCAAAAATGGTTATAGATTTCTGATTTTCCTCAAATTTCGCACATCCAAATATTTGTATCAGTATTAGATGAAGTGGAACGCTTTGGTATAAAATATCTAGAACCGTATGCAATTTCAGCATTTCCAAAAATTATGACATATCAATGGGTACATAAATAAACTGAATTGTAGATTGAAGAGTGAAGATCAGCAAGAAGCATTGCTAAATCTACCCATGGATCCTGAAAAAGGCACAGTTTTGGGCGGTTCATGGGCTGTTGGCATCATTGGACCCTTCTTCTCCAAAGATGCTGCAAATCGTAAAGTAACTGTGAGTGGTGAGCGCTACCATCAGATGATATCAAATTTTTCTTCCGAAATAAAAGAGCTCGACTTGCACGACATGTGGTTTCAGCAAGACGATGCAATGTGCTTATTGAGAGGCGAGTTCATATTTGGGACCTGTCAATTGACGACCTAGATCGTGCGATTTAACGCCTTTGGACTATTTTTTGTGGTGCTGTATTTAAACGCATTTCTATACATACGAGTCCGCTTCAAAAGATGCATTAGAAGACAACATTGATGCATTCATTCATGAGATACCGGCTGAATTTTTAAAAAGAGTATGGCAAAATTGGATTAAGCTGATGGACCATTAGAGGCGCAGTCGCGGTCAACATTTGCATGAAAAATTGTTCAAAAATTAAATTATATGGAATTCTTCTGTGTACAAAATACTTTGTACATCCTTTTGTGTGCGGTTGAGGCGCTGGGAAAATCCAAAAATTAAAAATAAATATTTAAACATTATCAGTTTCCCAGCGGTCATAAAATACCACATGTGTACAATTCAGTGATCTTGTGCGCTGTCGCATATGGTAATGTGTAAAATAATAAAGTCCATGACCCACACACACACAATTATCGATGCGCCAGTAGGTAGCCAAGACCACTTGAATGAAGGGACAAACAGCTATGCAATGGTTCATTGTAAATCTAAAAATAGATAAGGACAAGTGTGTGGCTGCGAATAGGTTAAGTTAGATCAGTTTTTGTAGCAGTTAAGAACAATATTTTTGAAAATAAAATCAGATTTAAATCAGCAACCCAAACGAGCGGTTGTGTTTTATTTCTCAGGAGTGAGATTTGGAACTGATCTCAACACAGAATGGTTGGTTTCCCTTCTCACTTGTACATTCTGATTTTTTTTTTTCATTATTGAAATATTTTCTTATAGCTCTTTAACACTTTAAAAAACAAGACAGTATATTGAGTTTAAGAAGAATTTTAGTACTTCAAATCACGCGACACTGAATCTTTTAAGATTTTATTTGAGTATATTCCGAATTGTCCGCTTTACCGAAATTCCGGTATCCTTTTAAAATACGATAGCATGAACAGTTCAATATTTTGGCGTTGTACATGTGATACAACATACCAATTTGCGAACTACAATTCTAGACTATTTAATTCTAATAGACTATTTATAAATCGGCCCGAAATCTCAGAGTTAAAAACGTTGTCTGTCGTCAGTTTTTTGAGAAACGGACAGTGGGCAAAAGCTCGACCTTTTTTAGACATTTCATGCGATTACAAATAGCACTGCCGTAGTTGTGTAATTTTTTCATTTTTTTATATATATATATACCTTACCTGAAATATTGCTCATCTCTGGACCCCTTGGCATTTAGTAAATCCTTAATGTGACCCAGACCCTTGACACCTTCATTATCATTCATTATGAAAACTACGGCATCCAAATTTAATTCTCGATTCACTTCCTGGGCAATTTGGTAGTTGGCAGCATCACAGAATATTAACTTGGGGCGAGTTATTTTATATATCAAGGCAACGTTCTCTGGAAAAGTTGATTAAAAATTCGAGAATTACAAAGGAATAATTCCCAATTTTGTGTGTGTTTTTTTAAGAACCCCTGTAACCTTACCCTTGTCGAAAGCAGGACACAAAGCATTCACCGGAGTTCCACAGAGAAATGAGGCCAACATCAGGGTAGTACTGTGAGTCCAATTACTGGCATACAAAACGATAACATCGCCCACTTTAAGGTCTAACTTCAAAAGATTTCTTGCCAATGCCTTGGCCTTATGCAGTAGCTCGGCACAGGTCAGCTTCACACCGCTAACATCATGGATTTGTATAATTTTTTGTGGATGTTTCGAGAGCGTGGCATAGATCACTTCGCCCAATGTTATATTTTCATTGTACACATCCTTACGCTGAGGTCCAGACCAGATCTTGCGATCTGGATCATAGTAGGTGGCCGTCAATGGATGCAGCATGACTGTCACCGTTTCAATGTTAAGTTCGCCCACAACTGACTGCAGGGCCGAGAAATGCATGTCATTGAAAACGAAATATGAAGATTCCACTTTGTTTCTATTAATTGTTTTAATATTTGCTATTTGTGTTGTTGTAGCTGTTGTTGTTGTGTTTGTTAGTTTACAACGACACGCGGCTCAGCAGAAAAATGCAACAACAACAACAACAACACGAATTATATGCATGAGAATATGTAACTGGAATAGCAATGATAAGAATTTCTAAGCTAAACGACAGCAATGGTTAGGCAGGAGCGTAGGTCACATGGAAAAACAAGTTGGAATTGTGATTAACTCACAAAGAGAGAAGGGTACTACTCAACAAAAAAAACTTATTAACAAAATATGGGTTCATAAAGCACATTTTGGAACATGTACATATGTTTTTTTTATTTTGAGCCTAGGTTTTGTTGCCGGACATGTTCACTTTGTGCGGCAATTACTCATTACTTGGTATGATGGAAGTAAGTTATTTTGCCTTGTAATTTTTTTTTAGGAAAAAGAAGGAGTGAACCGATATTGCCCATCTCCGAACTCCATCTATGTCTGATAATAATATTACGATGTACCAAGTTTGAAGCAAATCCATTTCACGAGACCAAGGTTCTGAAACCATTATTTCGAAGAGGCACGTTTTGACGTATCAAATGATATATACACTCTCTAGCCATATGGCTGAGGATATAATTACTAGAACTACAACTAAAAATGGTGTATACATTATGTCACATATTTCCAATTTGGTATTCGAAGTCTGTAAAGGATACGAGAATTACTGAATATTTAAAAGAAAGAAGATTTTCCACACGAATTTTTTTTTAATGTAATTCTTTGGTTCCTCTTCTAGTGAGCTTACGATCTAGTCACTTAGGTAAAAAATATGTCCCAAACAAAAAACAACAAGGAGGATTGAGGAGGAGGAGAATTAGTGGCTCTTTCCGAAACCTAGTTATTCCCTGCCTAACCTTCTTGTAAAAAGTATCATCTTCTCCAGTAATGAATAGCCGTTGTTTTTATAAAAACAACAATAATGGGATAAGGCCTGACTTTTTTGCAACAACAAAATACTATGGTATCGCGAACAAACATGCCAACACTGTTCCAAAAACTAAAATATTCCATATTTCATTGATCAATTTTTCCCTCTGAATTTTTACGAGTTGAAGCCTAAAAGTAACATACAATTTCGTTTTAGGCGGTAGGTCTCTAGAGAAGAAATATTTTACATAAAATTGATCAGCATAAAATTCTATGTCGATTCATCAATGACCGTCTGTCCGTTTGTGGAAATCACTCTAGCTTCCCAACGAATTGAAGTAAGTTGATAATATTTTACTCAAATGTGTGTTTGCTCTTCAGGACATTTGGTATTGAAAATGGGCTATATAGGTCCACGTTTAGGTATAGCCCCCATATAACTCTGCCTCCCTATATTCGATATTTTGCTGATTTCAAATATCGTATTTGAAGTTCCTAACGGGTACCACAGGCTATCACAGAGAATTGTCTATGCAGGTCCAGATCTTCGTATAGCCCACAAATATCGATACCTCCCTATATTCGGCATTTTGCTGATTTCAGAGATATTATTCATCAGAATTGTTTAAATTTCGTATTTGAAGTTCCTGGGCACTGCAGCCTACGACAGAAAATTCTATATGCACGTCTTCGTATAGCCCCCATATAACGGTATCTCCCGATATTCAAATTTATATTTCAAATTTCGTATCTGAAGTTCCTAAAGAGTACTACTATGACAGACGTCTTCGTCATTTCTAAGCCACTCATCCGACAGCTGTTAAAATTATTCCATTGACAGCTCATTATATTGTTTACAAGCGAACAAAGAGCATTTTGGTGAGAATTTTTCAGAAAAAAAGTTATTCGTGATGGAATTCAAGCCTGATAGTGTGACTTCTTTATATTTGGCTGGAAAACCACAAGTGGCTATTGTGACGTCGCAGTGGCCGAAAATGGCTCGTTAGCTAAACATATCGCAATATTCCATTCGGCAAATATTGAAAAATGAACTCGTAAAGCAATTGAAATTCCAAAACATTCAAGAACTTACTCCGCAACAGAAAGAAACTAGACTCAAAAGAGCCGAATTTGGGTTTCTCTGATGAAAAAATATTTATTATCAAGCTGTTTGTAAACAAACAAAATGATCGTGTTTACATGCCAAAGAGGTCAGCTGAAAATGTGCACCTTCGGTTGGCCACTAGAACTCAAGCGCCGGCCATGGTGATGGTGTGGGCCGCCATAACAGACGATGGTCGCTCTCCGCTCGTATTAATCGACCGTGGCATCATTCTGGAGGGAGTATTAATGCCTCGAGAACGCAAACATTTTGGCGCCGACCTTGGACCTTCCAACAGGACTCAACACCATCGCACTCAGCACGCCACCACCCAAGAATGGTTACAAATTGAAGTTCCTCGCTTAATTTCCAGCGCACAATGGCCACCAAATTCTCCGGATACCAATCCGTTGGACTATTGTGTCTGGAGTATTTTGGAAAGTTAGGTTGGCAGTAAAAAAATACCAAAGTGTCGATCAGTTCAAACAAACGTTTCGCCGGGAGTGGGCCAAAATACCGCAGAGCAACATTCGGGCAGCCTGTGAAGGCCATAATTCATGCCAAAGGTGACCAATTCGAACAAATCTAAACTTATTCTAAAATTTGACACTATTTCCAACATATTTGCTTCCATTCAACAAAATTTTTAAAAAATGTAAAAATTATGGATTTTGACTTTGTTGCAGGTTTTTTATCTCACCCTGTACATGCACCAAGATTTTTATATTGTATTTAATTAATTATTAAAAGTAATTTGACTTATTATCTATCTATTTATTTATATAACAATGAACACAGTTTTACATTTAGGCCTTTTCTTCTCTCATTTTCATAACAAGCTCCAGTACCTTGGCTCTCTGGACTTTACCCGAACCGGTCTTCGGTATGGCATCTACAAAATAAACACCGCCAGCCAAGTGGTACATACTGCCCATATGGGCCTTAACATGTTGATCGATTTCCTTGGCTGACAGCTTCAAACCCTCTGCCGTTTGAGAACGTACCACAGCACAAGACGTCAAATGCGTAGCAATCGGATCGGGAATACCGAAAACGCAGACTTCAGCAATGCCCGCCAAACGATAGATAACCTCTTCGATGAGTTGTGGATAGATTTGGAAATTTCTCGATTTAAAGACATCATTGTCTCGGGTGCAGACATGCAGGAAGCCTTCTTCATCGAAATAGCCAATATCTCCGGTGTACAGCCATCCATCCCGCAAAGCCTTGCGCGTGGCCTCCTCGTTATTGTGATAACCGTACCAGGGATAGGGTGAGTAAATACAAATCTCTCCATGTTGATTAGGCCCCAATGCTTGGCCTTGTTTGTCGATTATACGCACTTTTTTGTTGGCAAGAATTTTTCCCTCGGAGCCCACTAGGCGTTCTGTCACATAGCCGCCATTAATCGTCAACATTCCAGCCAATTCGGACATGCCATAGGCCACAGCAAAGCCGGACCGTTTTAGATTCTTCGCTAAAATGTGATGCATTTTCTCCTGCAGGCCCAAGGTGACCTTGGCACCGCCTACCAACAGCGTATCAATGGATTCCAAGCACTTTTGTATTTTTGGCACATCTTCATATTGTGCCAATTCAGCCATATACTGATTATTCGAAAGAACATGGGTAATTTTGTATTGCTGCACCAAGTCGAGTAAATATTCCGGGGTGTAGGGCCGAGTGGTAACAATGCGCAGCGAACCGAGAATTAAAGAATGCACCAATGTCCACAGACCGGATGCCCAATACATGGCGCTGAAGGTGAATGTCACCGAGTCGGGTTTGAGGGTTAGACTGTGAGGGAGAGGTTAGATGTGAAATGTGAGATGTAGGTATTGGTTGTTGTAGCTAGCGGTGGTACTTACAATACATTCTGATTGAGCAATGCTCGATGGGAGCATTTAACTCCTTTGGGAGCGCCAGTGGTGCCAGAAGAACACAACAGCATGGCTGTATCGTCTCCGTTCAATTCGTAGCAAGGGAATCTGAAATAAGAAAGAGAGGTTGTAAATGTGATTAACAAAACAGATATTACGCCGTGGAAAATGTATCTATGAAGTATCTGAGTAATATATAGTAACGTGGATATTGTACATGATAGCTAGGATGATATATCTAATAACTAGGACCTGTGATAATGTATCTAACAACGTGGATAATGTATCTATTGAAGAGCAACGTATTTAACAATACAAATAATGTATCTCACAACATGTATAACGTATCTACAACGTTGATAATGTATCTAAAATGTGAATAATGTATCTCATAAGGTAGATAATATATATATTAACGTGCAACGTATTTAACAATGCGAAAAATGTACCTAACAACGTGGATAATGTATCTAACAACGTGGATAATGTATCTAACAACGAGGATAATGTATCTAACAACGTGGATAATGTATCTAACAACGTGGATAATGTATCTAACAACGTGGATAATGTATCTAACAACGTGGATAATGTATCTAACAACGTGGATAATGTATCTAACAACGTGGATAATGTATCTAACAACGAGGATAATGTATCTAACAACGTGGATAATGTATCTAACAACGTGGATAATGTATCTAACAACGAGGATAATGTATCTAACAACGTGGATAATGTATCTTACAATGTGAATAATGTATCTACCAGCACGAATAATGATACTAATGTATCGTGCAATGTGAATAATGTATCTAACAACGTGGATAATGTATCTATGGACTTGCAACATATATAACAACTCGAAAAATGTACCTGCACATGAATGTACCCAACATATTTTAGATGTTGCTATTTTTTTGCCCAACAATGTGCGTGCTATTTATTTGGCGCACCACTGTACCGTAGCGGTACGCATTTAATATGCACACATACATGCATACGCAAGCGGTACCAAACTATTATGTATTTACAAGTCTTCGTTCTCTTTTCCAGTCAGCATTGGAAAAGTCAAAGCAAAAATGCAGTTGGTGACGGCTTTGATGAGAACGAGATATTCAATCGAAGTTTTGCGTAAAATCGATCAACACGATACTTGACCCCGCCGCCGTGATAAAGTGAAGTGAAAGTTAAATTTTAAAAAGGTAAAAACATTTTGGTCCTAGTCGAGCCGAATAAGTGTGGTTAAGGAAAAACTTAACATTAACAAATTGTGAGAGTGAAGTTTAACGAATTTAGAAAAATTCTTGCAACAAAAAAGAACGAAGAACAGTGAAAATTTTAAGAATTGAAAAAAGAGACTAGTGACTATTAACACCAAAATATAGACACTTCATATAACAAAAATATCAAACGCAGTACACGGTACGGAAAAAATAACAACAACAATAACAAGAAAGGTGAAAACTGGGATAGGAGAAAGCGGACGGACAGACGTAAGCTGAGAAACCCAACACTTTTTTGACACACACACCCTTTACCAAGAAGATCAAAGTGAGTACAAATACAGTTTTTTCTACACAACCAGAAAGCATTGGAGGAAATTATTCGAAAACAAATACAAAGACCCTCGTGCTTTCTTTGGTTCCCAAATCATTTGACACATTGACACCTTTTGTAAATCTAATTTGGGGACCCTTTGCCTATCTCCTTGCCTTCATACAAATGGAAAAGAACATAAATTAATGGGAAAGACTCTATTAACAAAATATATACAACTTTGTCCGCCATAATTTTTTTGGAAAAATTTTTTGGAATTTCTGGAAAACAATTGGAAAATAGTTGGGAATTTTTTGGAATTGTTTGGAAAAATCGACTCACACATCGAAACACATACTTTTATCGCCATATTATTTTGGGAAATTTATAAAAAAAAAAAAAAAAAAAAAAAAAAAAAACTTCGAGAATGGAAAATAATCTCAATCCTAAAGAGGTTCAAATTTTTTAAATAACAAAATATTCAAAAGAAATAAAATTTCGTTTTGACACCAGCCAATATATACAAAAAAATATATATATACATTTAAAATTTTGCAAATTCTAAAAAACATTTTTGTAATATTGAATAAGATTTTGATTTACGAAAGATAATTTTCGGCATCTTTAGTTGGCTGAAATACCATTTTGAAATCTTTTGATATTTTTCTCTACGGTTGACTCCAAACCATTAACAAAATTGTTTGCTGTTGTTTGTACAAACTGTGTTTGGTTGACAGACGACAAAAGGTTTAAGGTTAGTTAACCTAAAAATTCTACCTCAACACATTTTATTATCTTGTGAAAATTATAAGACACATAATTTATACATAACGCCATATTGGTTTCCAAATACAGAGCATTTGGGACTGGAAATAAAAACTCAGCACTAAAAATATTTTGCAAATAGAAGCGTTAGGTGGATAAGCGTTAAAAATTGAAGGTTAGATAACCTCACCTTAACCTCTTAACCAATCTTATCGCACCATAAAAAATATTGAAAAACATTTTTATTTTTCAAAAGAACCTGATGATTTGATTGCAATCATATTCTTAAGTATTTTTTTGCTCCTTACGACCCTTGAAAGCTATTTGTGTTGAAAAATGTGGAAATTTTTGACCCAGAATGATTTAATGCAGAAACGGTTTGCTGGGATATCACGATTTATTGGCTGATTTTTTACTCAAACTTTTGACTTGAAATCAAAACCCATATATTTTTTGAAATTTTGTCAGCGTTAAAGAGTAACACAAAAGAGATTTTAACGTACTTTTGTTTTATATACAAGTCGTTGTTTTTCTTTCTTGCCTGGACAACCCAACACACATATTTTCTTCAATTTTTTTCTTGGATTTTTTTTTTCTCTTTCGAATTTTGGCCAAAGGTTATTTTTTTGCACCCTTTAACTATTTATGGCGCTCTTTTAACAAAATATTTGCCAACCAATATTTTGAAACCCTACAAGAAAATCTGATTCTTTGATTCGATTTACTCTACAAATAACCCTCTTGTCGTTAAATTTATTGGGAATAAACAACGAAGTTTTGCTACGTCAAAATTTGTCGATACTGTTTTTTAACCCAAGAACAAAGCGATTGGTCCTCATTATTGGGCGACTTTGTCAACTTATTGTCAAAACAACAATTTTTCTAAAGTCAGACCCAATTCACTACAATTATGGACAAAGTAAATCGGGAAAAATTCACTAATTGCGTTAATGATCTGCAAGATTATGCATCGATCTTAAGCATAGCAAACTCAGAAGACGACACTTATAGATTAGAGGCATCGAGAGTTCAGTTAGATTCGATTTATGATCAAGTCAAAAGAGCGTATGTGGAATGCCGGGATTATGCTCCTCAAGAAGGAGAGAAACCAGTTGATAAAAATAAATTAAGGAGTCAATATATGGAGGCCATTAATTCATATAAAAATGCCCTAGGGGAAATTAATGGCCAAATCCAGACAGCTAAGCAGAGAGAATCAGAAGAGAAAATGAAAAGAGAAAGCACACTTACGCCCAAGGTGAGCAATGATGCTGAATTCACTCCGATTTCTCGATTGCCACCGTGTGACACCGATATTTTTAAGGGAGGATACAGCGAGTGGCCGACGTTCCGAGATCTGTTTTCAGCTATATATGTAAAAAACGCGAATCTAAGCAATGTTGAAAAACTCTTTCATTTGACACAAAAGACGGCAGGAGAAGCGCGAGATGTAATCAGTCATGTCCCACTTACGAATGATGGGTTCGATTTGGCGTGGAAAAATCTTACCGAGCGTTATGAAAACAAAAGAATGCAGGTAAACGAGCAGATAAAAATCCTCTTTAACCTACCCCACGTCACATATGATTCAAGTAGCACAATTCAAAAACTTCAACGCACCATGAATAGTTGCATTCAGACTTTAGAGACTCTAGAAGTAGGTGTAAAAGGCTGGGATCCAATCCTTATTTATCTTTGCTCCTCTAAATTGCCTCGATCTTTCTTAGAAGAGTTTGAAAATTCATTAGAAAATATCAAAACACTGCCTACTTGGGAGCAACTAAATAATTATCTGACCCACAAATTTACAACTCTAGAATCTGTGGGGAATATTAGACCCACTAGCATAAAATATGCTCAACAAAAACCAGAATTTAGTAAAAAACTGAAATTTGCAAGTAGTTTTCAGACCAATACATGGTCCAATTCTCAGTCACAAGGGGGTAAACCCAGTAAACAAACTTCGAATCAACCGCCAAGAACTCAAGTCACACAGAATTGTCATCTTTGTAAATCAAATCATTTTATAAAGGATTGTCCTCGATTCATAGAAAAGTCAGTGAATGACAGAATTCATTTTGTAAAAGTTTCACACCTTTGTTATAATTGTCTTTCTTCAAATCATGGCGTTAAGGAATGTAAAAGTCGGTTTGGTTGTCGGTCTTGCAATATGAGACACCATTCCATGCTACACAAGGGAACAGAGAACCTTCAAATAAGCAAAAGTAACAACATAGCTAGAGATGAAGTACGTCTTAGTACTAGTGCTTCAGCTCTTAACACAACAGTACAGTCCACAGAACCAGCAAATACTACAGCTCTGACCCTTCAAGAACATAGAATTTTCGAACATAATCCTAGAGCAACTTTGCTTTTCACTGCAATTGTACAAATCCAGTTTAGAGGACAATCATCTCAATCCACCTTTATCTCAGAAAAACTTAAAAACAAGTTGAATTTGCCAACTAAGAAAAATCTTGTTCATGTTACGGGACTTAGTCAAATTGTCTCGGAAACTTCTACAAAATCTTGCCTTTTCACTCTTCGTTCTCGTTTAGACCCACAGTTTGAGCTAGACGTATGGGCGTTAGTTTTAAAGTCCCTTCCGTCCAATTTACCTCCACAAAATATTGAAAAGACTAAACTTACAAATATTAGGGGCCTTAACTTAGCAGACCCTACATTTCACATAAGTCAACCAGTCGATCTCCTTATAGGGATGGATATAGGACCCTTAATATTTACAGTGGGTGCACCTATAAAATTGCTTGACTCATTCTTAGCACAAGACACTGTATTCGGTT